GACCAGGATGCACGGTCAGACCACTCCAATCCCTACCACACCACGTTGGAGCAGAGCTGCGGCGTAAGCGAGCCCAAGGGCGACATCGATGTACTTGAGAAGTCATCGTCGCCTGACTCCGTTGGGGAGGGGGCTACGCCAGCTGGAACGCCTTCTGCCGGGCTGCCGGCGAGCTCTCCTCCGATGGAAGTCTCATCAGACCCGGAAGGGTTTGGCTTGATCGTGGCAGCGATCAAGCCATCTGCAGTGAGTGAACTCGCCGCATGGGTGCGAGCATCTCACGCAACAAGCATCTTTTGGCGCCCGAACGGGCATACAATCTCACGTCCCTGCTGAGGACGTCACAGGATTCACGACCGACGGCGTGGAGGCAATCAAACTGCAGCTGCAGCAGTTTGTGCAGTGTGCTGAGGAGAGCGCAGCCGCGCTCATACCCGCTGATGTTGAGGCCATCTCCAGGTACGCCCTTGAGCTGAAAATCGCACGTAAGCGACACATGGCCGCCACTGAGCGTCTCGAGTCCTACCTTGAGGAGCGACGTGCCTTCCAAACCTGTGTCCAGCAGAGTCGTTGCGACGTGAGGACGGCAGCGGCGATCTACGGGCAGAAGCTATCGAGTGGTGACCTGTCCACGGATGGCAAGTACGCCTAGGCGGCCGCCTGCTTCAAGGTGCTAAACGGAGAGCTGGATGCCTTCGAGGCCGAGGTGACTGAGGAGCAAGCCATCCTCGATCAGCTGGAGCAGCAGTACCGCACTTCCCGTTCCGAATTCCTTGCGGAGCAGGCGCGGCTGCTAGTGGGATTGCTCTCGCGCCCACTCTCGATTGCACCTCGCCCCGTGTTTTTTTTTCACCAACCGCGAAGAAGAAATCCAGCCTGGATTGGCCGCCGAAAAAGAAATCAATAGTGGTACTCCGCGGTTTCTTTTTCCCGTCCCCTACCTTCACACTGCTGTGAACAGGTGCCGAACCCATACTGTGACCTCAGAGCATATGCAACCCATACTGTGACCTCAGAGCATATGCTTGAAGGCGTGGCCCCTTCCAACCTTGCTCGGGAGAACGCTGCACAGCACTCAAGCATCAACAATCGCAACTTACTTCGCTGAACAAGCAAGGATTTCGCGCAGGTGAGGCAGGCGGTTGAGAAGCAGAGCCGAGTGACGGCGGAGCTTGGCCGGCAGACAGTTCAATCCACAGGCGCAGCAGCATTGCGACCCATTCTCCAAGCACAGCCTCTGGCGTTGCGAGTGCACAGAGAGCGAGCAATAGTCGACAAAAGCACAGATCTGTGGGCAGCAGATCTCCATGCCGGTCGCGCCCTGCGAAAGGACAACCGCGGGCCGCGGATGCTTGCCCTGACGCGGACCCGCCGTGCGAGTTGCAGACCCGGAGGTGGCCGACCCAGCTCACCCCCAGATAGGCCATGCCCAGGGTTAGCCATGAGAGGGGGCTTTTTCCATCCGTCCCTCCATCTTACGCCAGTTCTTGAGGAGCGACATGGAGAAGTCGCTGTCGGCTCGCGTGAAGGCGGTGTCGATGTTGCACCCGCCCATCTCGGTCGGCAGCTGCGCCTGGAGCCACGCGAGGTCGCGGAGCGCCTGGGGCGAGGCGTCGGCGCGAGCAATGGCCAATGCCCTCAAAGCACAAAGGCTGAGGGAGGGTGTAAGAGGATGTAGAGTGTAGAGCGCTGTAGAGATGTAGAGCGCTGGAGAGCGCTGTAGAGCTGTAGAGCTCTACATCCGCCGCGTGACGAACTGCCTGCGTTGTAGAGCGATGTAGAGCGCGATTTTGCTGTAGAGTTTGTTGTAGAGGCTCTACAGCAAACCCGCCGGGAAGGCAGTGACTCAAAGAGGTCTACACCCTCCCTCAGCTCAAAGGACTTGCGGATGCGGTTGTGCGCAAACTCGAGAGCCGCGCACGCGACATTGGGCGGCGTGATGCCGGCAATGTACTTGGTCTTTGCACAGGCAATCCGTTGGACGAGGTTGAGGCGGAGCTGCGAGGTGTTCGTGACGCAGTCAGTGTCGACGATCGTGTGCGATGACGTCGAGTTTGTTTTTTATCGACATGTGGTGTTAGTTGACACGATGTGGGGGGGGGGGGAGCCGAACCAGTATCGGTTTTCTTTTTAGGTGGAATCCTCCAGGAAATGCGTCTCTGCAAACTTCGGAGGACGCAGAGACTCAGGAGGGCCACGTGGGAGGTCAAAGCAGATTGATTGAAGAGCATCTTCTGGGGCGCCCTCTGACGATCCTCCTACGCGTCACAATACATTTGGCCAAGCGCGATCCCTTTTGCCTCTCCGCCAGGCCCCGCCCGCCCGCAAAGAGATTCAATGCCTGAGGCGAGCCCGCCCTCCGAGAGCCGCGTGCCGCCCGCCGGCCAGCGCTGGCCCGCCGCCGACGCCTCCGCCTCGGAGGACGGGTGCACGAGCGCCGCCTCCGACTCCGATGCCAACTCCCCACCTTCCAAGTCAGCCATCCCGCCGGCGCAAGTGACCGTGCAGCCGCTTAAGCCCTCGCCGCGACGTGTCCGGGCGAACCCTCCCGCTCCGCCCGCGCCCTCGATGGCGGAGGCTGCATCAATCGCGGCGGCGGTGCAACAAGCGGCGGCAGCGCAGAGTGCAGCTGTGGCCGTCGCGCCGCGACCGCCGAAGGCTGTGGCGCCGGCGGCAGCGTCGGCGCCCGCCACGGTCCTCTCCTCCGCCGCCCCTGCCGACGCCGACGACGCCGAGCTCGCCGCGCTCTGGCGGTATGCCAGCTCTCCCACATCGCAAGCGCAGGCGCCTGCGAGCGCGGCAAAGGGCCTAGCGAGGTGAGCATCCCCCCGAGGAGGTCCCGGGACGCGGGCGGGTGTGGATCGCGTGCAGCGCGCCGCCGTGTCCGCCGCCACCGCAGCGCCAGCGGTCGCACCTCACGCGCCTCGCCCCGCTCCCCCTAACGGCGATTTGCCCTGACCCCCCCTCCTCCCTTCTTCTCTCTCCCCCACCCAGGTCTGCCTTCACTGCCCCTGAAAACGAATAAAAGCGGGACGAGTTCCCCCGGCCCCCTGCCCGAGATGACATCGCCCGGCCCGGCGCCGGAAACCTTTCCCCCACAGGCCAACTGCCCGGTCGGTCCTTCCCCTTCGATCCAATGGGGAAAAAGAAAAGGGGGGAGGGGGCC